AAATTATCCCAACGCGCGCGAATTTGATGGCTTCCGATTTGCCCAGATGAGAGAGGGCGAGGGCGAGAGTATCAAACATCAGATGGTCGCACTGAGCTTGGATTATATCACATTTGGAACAGGCCGACATGGATGGTGAGTGTAGCTCATTCTGTCCCCTGTGTCTAACCGAATTGACGTGATTTCATGTAGCCCTGGCCGCTTTTTTGCAGTTAACGAATTGAAAGCGATGCTTGCATATGTGTTGTTGAATTACGACGTGAAGACTGTGGACGGCCAGAGACCCGAGCCCAAGCATTTTGCGCAACAGACTGTGCCGAATCCGGCGGCGTCCGTTATGTTTAGGAAAAGGCAGTGATTTGCGATTTGGAACGTTTCGTACAAGGGGAGATGTTGAGATCAAAATTTAAATAATGTGTATCACAATTGTAGTCGGTGTGAATACCAGGCGCCTATGTAACCCCAAATGAAGTGGTTATTCAACCAGACTAAACCGGGACCAATGGTGACCTTGTAAATGTATCCCAGCGAGATGCTCGGTGAACGCTCGGTGTACGAACCTCGTTGATACCAGAAGGGACGCATAGAACGACGTGAGACGCCGGCGGAGCGGCGAGGTGGGCAAGTGTTCGTGTGTCTGGTATAGATAGCCAGAGTCCAGGTGCATGGCCATGTCAATTTCGGCGAGTGACCGAGGAGGGGGGGATTAATGGAAGGTAGGGGTCATGCCAGGGCGTCGCTCACGCCCAGCTCGGTTTCATTGCTACCCCTGCTTGACGACCTGAAGACCAGGTGATACCAATTGGAGGGAAGAGGTAATTCTTCTTTTCCGTGCCTGTCAACCTGGGATACGAGTTTTGGGATGAGCACGACAGCACGTAGTGGGGTAGCGTAGAATGTCAAAGGATGTTGATTTTGACGAATGAATTGGTCTAGGTGGGGTGCACAACAAGAGTTGGATTGAAAAGACGATCGGAGGCAATAAGTGATATCCAAGTCGCTGGGAGCAAAAGTTGGATCATGAGGTCATCCATCTGATCGCCGCGCCCGGATGGGGATCTGCGCTCCCCCCAAGGGCGATATATGCGCATTTACTTGGCGCGCGCCGTTTCCTTGGTCTTCATGCTGGCCACCCTATACATATATGTCTACAGCTCATGATCGCGAATGTATTGGGCGATTGGACGGCTAGGAGGTAGGATATAGGTGTCTGCAATGTGTCGTGTCTGTTGGATTGTCAGATATAGCCCGCAAGGGTATGGACTTATAAAAGGGGGGGCTCGGTGGGCCTGGATTACAACCGGAACCGTGACAGAGATGGAATGGAGACACACTTCGTTTTTGTTCTTTTTCTAAAACCTTACAAGGGGGACTGCGAGGTCTCGGATCCAAAGTTCGACAGGGTGTGTGCGGAGCGAGGTGTTCGAAAAGGGGGCCTCGGTGATGGTAAATAGAAAGCAGTGGAATTGATAGATGTGTGGGACTCGGAGGGTATACATGCGAAGGTGATATAATTACAAGGGGAGGCGGAGACGGGTGAAAAGCTCCAATGTGTGACTTTTGCAAGGGAAAGCGGGAGAAATTATGGTTAATCATGACGATATGATGCGGGTAGATGATCATCAAGCCAGTGAAATGTCGAAATCGCTGTGGAGAAGGGATCAATGAAAAAGGAGAGAATGGGATCAAAAAGAACAGGTAAACGGTAAGATTAGAACGGGTGGCCGACATGATTAGTGATCACCGATAAAGATAGGTGATCCAGCAGAAAAGACGTGACATTTGGGGTGTAGGATTGACATTGGGTGACAGGACCTCCGTGGACAGAAGGAGATGGCGTGGGGAGAGAGAGCTGCATCGTGGTGTTGGCGAAGCACGTACAGATGGAGGAGATGGGAGGAAATGTCCGAAGAAATGGCGCAAGTAGTGGGGAAATGGCAGACAAACGGTAATTAGCACAGTACCAACATATTACGTTCAGGGTGGATTATAAGCTTCAGGGTGCGATCGGATAATGAGTGGGGGGAGAAAAAAAAAATGAGGAATGTGTAGCGTGTGCAGGTGACCCTAAAAAAAAGAATTGAGAGTCCGCGAGGCAGGCGGGACCGGAAGAACGGCAAAGGTGGAGCTGGGATTGATTAGGAGTGTTGGGGGATTTGGCGGGACTGGGGAGAGAGAGAGGGAGAAGTGGGGGGCTAGAAATGGGCACTGGATAGTCATGTACATAACAAGGGTTTATGTAGGATGACGACAAAATGACGCTTGTAGCAAGTTGGAGGGAGAAATATTTATGATTCAGGCACGAAGGAGATTTGAATTGATGGAAGAGACAACATGGCCAAACATGGGTGTTTGTATGTATAACAAGGTGGCTACGTCAGCAGTCGTCATCTGTCGAACCCCTCACCACACTGTCGTCACCGACCATGTCCCAGTCTCCCTCTGCCACTGCTTCTCCGCCTCCAGATTCACGCCGCCACAATATCCGACAGACTCGTTCTGACTTTGACCTCGAACCCAATCCATTTGAACAGTCTTTTTCTGCGACCCCCCGCTCCGCCTCTTCCAACCTCCGTACCTCGTCCCCCAAACCAGACTCCAACTCCCAGTCCTCCGCCCATGACTCGGACCGTCCCGAACGCCCCCAGTCGCGCGCCTCGAACGACAAGCGCAGTACCTCCCCTCGGCCCGTCCTCCCGCCCATCGAGTCGATCTCATCACCGGCGGACCAGAGCTATGCATGGGCGTATCCCAACTCGACTAATCTGAACAATTCCCTGAGGTCGGGTCCTCTCTCCCCTGCCATGCTCGCCGGTCCCCAGACTTCTACCCAGCCCCCTTCTACTCATCTCCAGTTCGACCCCACTTCCTTCCGCACTGGTCTCACTCCTCGAACCGGCTTGACTCCTCGCACGGGCCTTACCCCTGGTACCGGCCTCACTCCCCTCGTCGGTGGGCCTGTCGCCTTCCCCGCTTCCCCAGGCACCGCTGCTTTCCTCGCCATGATGAACAATACTACCAATCCTGGCCCCACCATCACACCCAACACCCTCAACGTCCTCACTGGTGCCCTCAATAGCACCTCCAACACTACTAACGGAACGTCGGCGAACAATAACAACAATAATAATAGTTCCAATAACAATTCCAACGGTTATCACCACCAAAACGGTCAGGACCAGAATCAGAACCCGTCCACCAATCCTACATACATCACCTCTGCATCCAACGCTGCCAGCACTGCCGCTAACGGTCTCTTTCTCCTTTCCCAAGCTCACCAGGAGCTTACCAAGCGCGAGGAAGCTGCCCGCGCGAACACTAATGGCCCTCCAGCAACTTCCGTGTCGCCTGTCAACGGTAAGCGCGCGTCCAAGCGCAAATCGTATGAGCCCGTCGAGGTTGCTCCCCGCACGAAGCGTACCAGGGCCAATACCAACGGCAATGGTCGTGGTCGGAGACGTTCCGTATCGGAGGATATCGATGCGGAGGACGACGACGACGGCGATGAAGATGATGGCGAAGGCGAAGAAGATAATGCCGATACCGGACCTGGTGCAAGGCGCGCTCCAAAGAAGCCTGAGACGGAAGAAGAGAAACGAAGGAACTTTTTGGAGAGGAACAGGCAGGGTTTGTGCTATCTCTTTTTCCTTATGCTATATGCTGAAATAAAAAAATTCTTACCATCTTGCAGCTGCACTCAAGTGTCGTCAACGCAAGAAGGCGTGGCTCGCTCAGCTCCAGGCAAAAGTCGAGTTTCTCACAGGCGAGAACGAGCGTCTGACGTCTGCACTGGTGGCCTCGCGAGAGGAGGTCTCGCGTCTCTCGGCCCTCGTAGGTGGAAATGCTGTAGGCAGTGGAGGCACGCACCCCGTGTCTATGAATGTGAATCTCGGCGTGGGCGCAGGTACTGGTGCTGCCAAGGTCGGCGCACAGGCACGTAGTGGAGGGTACGGCTACTAGAAAGGGGTAGCGAGAAGGCGTTGAGGCGTGAGGCCCCTCTCCTTCCTCCAGACTCCCGGTGATCTGGGACGCTGGGCCCTGGTCTACCCAGCGACAAAAGCAAGCCAGAGTGGGATACTTTATCCCCCCCCCCTCCTCATCCCCATCCCTGACTCACTCATGCTTGCGCATAAATGTAGCACCTCCTTGCATACGCACACGCAATGATACACGCACACAGCAGCTTTGCAAACACATACCCCTGTACCACTATCTGAGGTCACATACATGTAATTGTGCATTTATGGACTTGGTTCTCCTCCTTTCCCTATCCTTCCCCCTCCTCCCCAATGAAAAAAAAAAAAGCGCACACGACGCACGGCACGACTCCGAACTTTATCGTCTCCCTCCCCCTCGCGTATGTACAAAATACACGCATACATCCGTTCTACCCAATCATCGATCTGTTCGGGGTCCCAGACCTGGTCAATAGATGAAGGATTCTCACCACTTTTTTAAAACCGGTTCTGGACCAACCGAATCGAATTTCGGAGTGGGCCTCGTGCGACTTTTTCATTGGGTTTAGGTCTCGGTACATTTCGATACGTGACACGTACACTTGTTGTTTGCTTTTACGGTCGTTTTGTTTTTCTTATTCTTTTATTGCTTTTTGACTCTTTTCTTGACTTTTTTTCTTTTTTTTTTTTGGGCGGGACAGATGAAATAGTATGTACGTAACTCGATATGAGTTGGTGCTGTACGATTGCTTTCTTGGGACTGGTGTGTGGAGGAGAGGGGGGGTGTATGGCTAGGATTCGGAAGCGAGAGCGAAAGGAAGAAAAAATAGATGTACTACGATACAAGTTGAATTTCTAGTAATTCTGGTGGGAGTGTAAACTAGCTGGCCTGCTTTCATGTCCAACCTGTAGGTTCTACTCCTATTAGCCTAATTGACAAAGGATATACCCGCTTCTGCCCGCATCAATAAATGTATGTACCTAGGCGTAATTGAACCCCCGCATCCAAAAGAAAATATTTTTTCTGTTCATATACCCTATAATCACCCAGTCCCCGAGTTGAACAGGGCTACAGCACAAATTGTGTGACTGCTCTCAACTTGAAACTTTCACACAAGTCTGCTGCGCGATAACCGCTACGCTACCGGGTCTGGTAATATTTGGGACTCGGGTCGGCAAATTCGTGCCGTGTGGTGTTTTTGGTGGGATGATTCGAATCATGATTTGCAGATTACGGCGAGTTTACGAGTTTGGGGGTTTGATGTTGCGATGATATTGTTTATCGTAAGATCGCTGATCATTCTGAATCATGTTCGACATCTTAGTGATTGTAAATCTGCGATTATAAGTTGATCTGATGATCATCCCAGGACAAGAGTATGAACAAGTTATTAGAATTGATGTGTTGTACTGCATTGCAGTGTGGCTGATGTGTTATATGAGTGTAAGATAAGAAAACGATTTGTATACTTCTCGGATGTATTGATTTGAAAAATTCATTTCTAAAATCCCCATTGCCCAGTCCCTGAGTCGAACAGGGCTACAGCAGGATTTGAGCCAGTTTGACTCCTGTCATTTTCCAATGACATCCCATGGTAATACCATGGTGCCTGCCAATGCGATAACCGCTACGCTACCGGGCCTTGCGAAGTTTGTTTAATCAAAAACAAAGAAACGTTTGGAAATGAAACTTGTAGGATCTGCGGATTACGACGAAGTTACGAGTCCGGAGCTGATATTGGCATGCCTATCGTAATCTATAAAACCATTAATCAATCTGATGTATATTCGCCATTTTTGTGATTTTGTCGAACACGGATGGACTGATGATCAGACGAAGATATGTACGTACGACATTAGGATATTAAGGTTAATGTGTCGCAGTGCATTATGTGATAAATACCACACTCTCGCCTTATGAAGGTTATTCATAAACAACCAAAAGATATGAGATATGATTTAATTAAAAATAGAGGGTTACGGTACTTGACAATGTATGGAAAGAGTAGGATTGAAATCAAATTTCCTCTTTAAACTAGTGTTCGGAATGGATTGTGGTTCAATTATAAATGAGTATTACGTTGTAATGTGAATATAGAAAATAGGTTACATATTAATCGTTGAAAAGGAGATGAAATAATATTCCAGAAAATTATGGGTATGAATGAAATAAAAAACCGTATAAACTGCTTATTCAAATGACAAAATCTTCACTCCACTTGGACGAAAGTATACCTTTGTGCGTTTGAACCGTCACATTTGGCGAGGAAGAGTGTTTGTCCAGGGTAACTTCCCGTGACGCAGAAGTTAGTTCTCGGACGGAATATAACGCAGTTCTGTCCTTCAATCCCAGAATCGGAACAACGGTTGCATTCAATCATGAAGTCTTGAGATCTGGTCAAATATTTAGAACGAAATGAAAAAAAGATAAACGATGAAACAAACCCATTGGAGGTAGTTTCTTCGAAAGAAAGCTCGCCGTAATTGCTCGCCGTAAGTTGAAGATTACGAGCCGTGTTGGCAACAAGTCTTTAGAGTGATAATACTTAATCAGAGGTTGTGGGGTGGGGAGGAGAGAAAATATACTTACTTGATATGGTAGGCATTTGTGGGCTGTCCCGTAAATTCAACTAAAAATTGGTTGGCGGATCCAGCACCGAAACCGGCGAGGTTGACTTGAGAGCCATCCGAGTTGTACGAGGTCCACTCGGCGGAAGAGGTATAAACCTTCAAAGCATTGCCCTGAAAGTTGGGAGTGCAAGAGTTACGAACGGGGTTGGCGATGGTAGCGCCGAGGAGGGCAAGGACAGTGAAGAGGTGCATGCAGGAGATCATATTGATATAGATAGGGTTGGTGTTTAGATTTAAAAACTTTGAGGGATGAATGGTTGGAGGGAGGTAAGGAATTTTTGAGCAAAGTTGGACGTGCCTTTATACCTTTCGAGGTTTCACAACAGCAAAGGGGACTTTGACGCGTTCGGATGGTATCCACTGTAATCTATGACCATTTTCGAGACCTGTAGGTTGTATAGGAGATGTAATGACGATTAAAAAGCCAAAATGTAGCAGAAGTCGACTAAGGTGGGGCCGTCGGACTTGGCAAAAGTGGATTATAACAGTGCAGTAGCACTATTCTTGATCGATCAGAAATTGGTTGTGGGGTCTGTAGCCCGTGAATTACTCTGTTCACACAAAACTGGAAGATAGACATTGGTTATGTGATCAGAGGTCCGACGGGACCGTAAGTTGTAAGTGGAGTTGCAAAGGAAAAGGGGGTCTATTCTGAGGCCTGGGCTCAGACAGTGAAATTTTGTTACTATACTTGAATCTGGGCCCACTTGGAATCACATGTCCAGGCAGAGAGCATTTTATTGGAGTTCCCCACCTGAGCAGACAGCAATAGAATATCTCGTTACTTGGAAATATCGGAGGAGCGAGTGGGAAATTGAATTTGAAAACGTTTGTGGCGAAATTTGAATTCTGTGCGGACCCGGAATGACCTGGCACGTGATCGCGAATCGCTGGTAGTACTTTCATCGCGTGCCACCAAGTTGAAGGAAACAAGAAAGAGACGGAACCTCCATAAAATGTTCACTAGCAAGGGAGAGAGGCGACAGAAATGTTGGAGATAAATAGAGGAGTATCAATTTTTATTGATCATAAGTTGTCCTTTCAGCTGAAACTTTGCCAGGCTTAGCATACTTGTAAGTTGTTCAGACTTCAAAGTGAAGGTCTCGTATCCCCTCGCCACCAGTACCCTCGTGACTCGTCTTATTCATTGTCTTTTTCGAAAATCACTGTAGCTAAAAAAACCTCGGCATGCAGAGCGGGTCGGGCCTATCAATAATATTGGTTATCGCTAGACCCACAACGCGACTCTGCGTTCTAATACAACGAATCCCCGCCCTCAACACCAACCTTAATATTTGGACAACAAGATTGTTATCTGCTTTTCTCCAAACTTCTAGAAAAACATTAAAACGTCTTGTCTAATATTATTCAAGACATTCAATACTAACTAACAAACATGCTGAGGTATTACTACCTGAAATAGAATCCCAAAGAACCGTGTGATTTATATTTCTGGTAGGAAATCCAAACCTCTGGAAATGTCAGACTCTTACTTAAATCCCCTCCCACAGGTTGTATGTCTGGTTTTCCGAACCATCACATGCCGCAAGAACGAGAGTCTGGCCTGGTTTGCTGCCGGACACGCAAGTGTTGGATGCGGGGTGAGAGATGACACAGTTTTCCCCCCGACCTTCGTCGGTCGCACAAACGTCGCAGGAAATCGCGAACTCTTGGGATCTATTTTAGCGGTATATTTTCAGAACAAAAGTCGAAAGCACGTCAGGAAGAGGACGAACGCGGAAACCTCGCTGGTGGCCACAGAAAAGGCGAGGTCGCCATTAGCTCCGGCAGTGAGCGCCAGTTTATGCGCGGTATCTGCGACCATCCTGGTGGCAGGAATGTGAGTATACTGTTTGATGAGCAGACTCTAACGGAGCTTAGACCTACTTAATCTGGTACGTGTTGGTGGGCGTTCCCGTGAACTCGACGATAAATTCGTCCTTTTTGAATGAGTCAAACTCCTGCACGAGAGAAATGTGCCCTCCCACAGCGTTCACAGGAGTCCACTCATACACACCGATGTCGGTAATTTCAGGTTGTTTGTAGATGGTAAGAGGGCGCCCCTGGAAGTTGGGCTTACAGGTACGAGGAAGGAGGGTTGGGTTGGCGGCAGCAAAGGTGAGAAGTGAGAGGGTTGTGAAGACCTTCATGGAGGAGAACATGGTAATATAAAGCTCGAGATACTAGTGAATTTCGATATTCGGATGGTCAATCCAGAACAGGTATGCCTGTTTTTATACCATTCCTTTCCTCCAAAACAAGAATTATATGCGACGCGTTCGGAGGATTGGGATAGGCCATATTGACAAGGATCCAGCTGAAATACCGGCTAGGTGATTATGCCGTCGAATCTCAGCACAAGAATGAAGGCACTGAGTGTTTACGGCAGTATAAATGGGGATTCGAGCAGTGCGTAGGGCGGCCATGAATCCCGCGTCAGTAAAGTCCTTCTGTCAATTACCATGCTGGGCTGGGCTGGGGCGGATTCCAATGTTCAGCTCTTACGTGAATAACATCACTGATCCTAGCACTTGCCATACGCCACCGGGTTGGCGATACCTGGGATGGGCGGTGGATGCTCGATTTATAATTTAGTGGCGGTTTCAGATTTAATGAACAAGTAATCCGAAACGACCGGAAATTTTACTGTAATAATAGTGGAGCGCAGAGGCCAGGCGCGTCGGGCCGATACAGTTCTCGGAAAAAATGCGAAAGGTTTGTCTTCAGGTATTGGCTGATCATAACCGCCATTTGTAGGGATCCGAAGAAACAGAAGAGCTGATGTGCTTTTCCAATTGGGTGTCTTTCATACATTTGGACTCAACGATTTGACGGCTGGATAATGAAGTTTGTGACATCCTGGGAGATCATAGTATACTATAATGCACTATCAGGTGAAGCTGCTAGATGGGATTTCCGACCTGGACAATGTTGGATTCATTCGTCTGAGTTCACTGAGCGTACATGGGTTAAGAGAGAGAATGATGACAACCGTGACGGCTGTGTTGTATCCCCACTGACGACCTGATATGCAATGAAGGAACAAGGAGCTTTCGAAAGTAGTAGAACAAGAACAACCGGTACTACTAGATGATAATCGTTTTCCCCACAGCACCATCATCATCCCAGGTTATGCCTCATTCGGCACTACTGAAGAGCCTTGAGGCCAATGGGTAATCTGGACGGAAGGTCCGGCAATGGTGAATTGATGTGTAAGTAAAACGGGTCCGGTATCGATATTCAACTGATAGGAGCCGCTGTGAATCCAAAAGTTACCATCGGTATCGGCACGTGCCAATGACCCAAGAGTGACGGGTAATCTCGCGTTCCCAGTACTCCCAGCCTCAATCTGGTGTACTCGGGAATAGGAAATAAGTTGTTTATTGGGATATGGAGCAGGCCCAGCAGTCCCATTAAGGAAGAGTAGAGCGACATAATCGGAGGTCACTTCTCCCGTATTTTGGACAATGATGTCGAACATATCAAAAGTTGCCAAATCAAGGGGGCCTTGTGGAGCAA